GGGAGGCGGGTGGTGGGCTGGTACATGGTGGGGAAGCGGGTGGTGGGGTGGCACATGGCGGGGAGGCAGGTGGCGGGGAAGCGGGTGGTACATGGCAGGGAGGCGGGTGGTGGGGTGGCACATGGCGGGGTGGCACATGGCAGGGAGGTGGGTGTTGGACTGGCGGCAGGGAGATGAATTAGCTGGACGAGCAGCTACTTCTTTCTTGAAAATATCATGATTGGTACAGTAGTGTTTCCTCTTGGCTTTGAAGTTTCTAAATGTTTTACTCCACTAGCACTGACACTAGGCAGTCTTTTAGGGGCCATTTCACACAGAAACACTAAAGTTTTGAGTACAAAATGAGATGCTGCGTCGTAGGCAATGGTTGAACGCAAACATAGGGAGAAGAGACGCTGCGGGCACGAGGGGATGACTTGTTGCGCTGTGGGAGAGGCTTGTAAGCAAGCCACCATCTGCTTACTGCAAATAGTCGAAATCACAAATTGCAAGCCCGCAAATAGCAAGGGTTTACTGTACATTAGCTTTCTCGCCAGGCTGTAACATTTCACCAAACAAATGCCGTTTTTCTTCAGTGAAACAACACACTGGTTGCCCTCATGCACTAAAGTAGAACATCCAAACATTTATTATATTGTGTATCCAGAACAATGCAGACAAATGCTCACAACTTGGTGCACACAATCAGCCTTGTTCCCGAAATTGTACTCAGACCTTGTATAAACTGGTTGCCTCATCTATTGCACTAATTCTCATCCATTTTTTTCTTAATGTTATTGCTATCAGTGTAAGCTGTTAGAAATACAGTACCAGTACTATTACTGTGAAATATTCAAATTCAAAGCAGAATTTTTTTTTTTAACAATGCATATTTATCTTGCAAATAACTTGAAGAAATGCAAGGAAACCAAAGTATTTCATGAAAATTTTGCATACCCCAAATACTTTTAAATGTGGAGCAGAGCATATAAAATATACAATTTATACTAATAGTCTGTAACATACAAGAACAAGCAGTCACCATCAGGTACAGTGATAATCGTTGTCACTTATGATATTCTACGTGCGTGAACCATGCGTGCCTTTCGAACACTATTTTTGCTGCCATTTTAAAGTATCAATAAACTGAGATGGTCCATGAATAAGACAATACTGACACTAACTGATCTAATTGACAAAATGAAGGAATGAAGAGTGATGTCCCCTTTATGAACAATGAGCAGAAAAAAGTGACCTGTGAGATCTACACCAATAAAAATCCTCTTGGCAGAGTTGCCTTTACCAGAGGCTTTAAAATGTACAGTGGCAGAACACTTTATCTGTACAGACAATATTGTTATTGCAAGCAGACAAAATATGACCTAATAAGTGCTTTAAATCCGTTAATCCTACAGTTATATCAGGAGCAGTGAGGCTTCAGAACACTTAAGCTTAACCCTTGTGAAGGTACAAGTTTTGAACTCAATTTGGCTATAAAAGAAAATCCATGTTTCCAAGAAGAAGGAACAGAAATAAGGGGAAAAAGGGTGTTAAGCAAAATGCAGGTTACGGTCTGGGTTCTGCTCAGATATAAGTACCGTGGTCCCTCGGTTAACAAGCACAATTCGTTCTAGAAGGTTGCTCGTTAACCGAAAAACTCGTTAACCGAAACCATTGTTTTAATGGGTTTTGGGTAATTGGTTCCAGCTCACTGAAAATTGCCTAAATTAAAAAAAAAATGTAGAAAAGTACACTTACTTTGAGGTGTGTATGTAGAAGGCTCCTGGATGATGATGATGATGATGATGATGATGATGATGATGGGAATTAGAATGGGGGTGGAGGAGAAGGGAGAAGAGAAGGCATTGGGGTGGAAGAGAAGTCACCCCATGGCACCATTTCACCCATTAAATTTTAGTTCTCTTGGTGTAATTCAAGATTATTTTCTTTAAATCAACACTGCACTGCATTATATATTGTCAATTTGTAAAATAAATTCCAAAATGACCAATAATTTGCTTGGAAACACGGAAAAAAAGCATTTAGTTGAAGAGTCTCAAGCAAGATGTTACCTCCACTGAAAAGACACAGACTGACGCCTGTATGGTGTGTTGAGAGGCTGGATGACGCGCATAAAACTAGTTTCATTACCTTCAATTATGTTCAATAATTGTTAAAATGACTAAAAAATTTAATATTAAACTTTTAAAATTATTGAATAGTATAAACTTCTTGATATTTGCTAAAATGGTTAGGAATTTAAACCCTAGAACCGATTACTGTATTGGCGGACTAATACTACAGCTGGTGGACCGCCAAATGCAAGCGAAAACATGTTCAGGTCGGCTTGTAAGAATCTCGTTAAACGAGGCGCTCGTTAACCGAGGGACCACTGTGCACAGAGAATGGGAAGTGAAAGATTGGTAAAAGGAGTGCAATACACAATAGAGGTGGATAGTAGGAAGGAAAGGGAAGACCAAGTAAATGGAATGATGATGTGTTAGATGGCTTGAGGTGAGGGGGATGGTCATTTAAATACTGTAGCAGTGTGTGAATAAGCAGAGAATATGGTGTCAAGTGATAGTGGGGCAAGGATACTGAGCTGATTTGTGATACAGGTTTGTGTAAATTGACTGGGTAAACCAGGTGGATCTTTGAGACCTTGTTGTGTTAAGAAAAAAATATACGTATATCCAGTATTAAAGTAATGTACAGGTATTACGTAAGAATTAATGAACAAATTACAACATTTAGGAGGGAGGGAGGGGGGGAGAGAGAGAGGCTTATTTCATTATTACTAATAGAAGAATTGTAAATTTGAGATTTTTGCATGTACTGTACTATACATCAATGTGTGAGACAATTTTTTCCACAATGGAAATTTTTTTAAATCAAGTCCTCGTAAATCAGGGTCTGCCTGTATCACTGTACAAATTGAAATCTTATACCTGTATTTTAATTTAATTTTCTCTCACTGGACCTCTGAGCACATGAAATGATACCGAGGTGAAGCAGCTCGGGAGACTTACCAAGTTTTGTTAACTGAAACAAAAGAACCTCATATGACTCTCAATATGAATAGAGCTAAATTAGGTTTAGTAAATATTATAATTAGAAACCCCCCCCCCCCATGCAATCTAAGCCTTTGAAAATTTTGGACAAATTTAAAATGGTACTGTACCAACTCCACTTCACTTAAGAAAAACAGACCCTGTGTAGTACATAAATCATGTTTTCACTTATCACTAACAGGCCGAGCTACTCGTGCAATAAATCCTTAAGAACATTAGTACCAGAATATGAGCTAGTGCCACTTACTGACCAACCATCAGAAACCACTAAGGTTTAAATCTAAGTGTTTTATACCGGTATTTACACTTTGATTAGTAATTGAAAGAATACTGCCCAATATGAAAACAACTCAGTTTACTCTAAAAAAAAGTGCTTAATTGACTGTTAGCAGGAACCAACATGTACAAACCAAAAATGAGAGTTATCATAACATTCTACTGTATTTGTCTGCTTACTCCATGAAGTCTTCTTTGGAGACCTAATGTTTATTAGACATTGTTCCTTCAAAATCTATCCATTAGGGTCTAAGTATGAACTTCTTTTTATGATCAAAGGTATTTTGGAATGCCTAAGGCTTCTGAATGGTTTTGCCCCAGTAACCTTAATAGTCAAGAGACAACCACCAAATGAATGAGTAACTCTTTGCTGCAACACCTCTGTCTGCACAAGTACAATATCCAGCCACTATACATGCCAAAGCACTCTGGCAATGGTAGGTTCTGCCAGGAGGCATCTTACTGGTATAGAACTCTCAGGTCTCTCATGATTGACCAACAAGTCATTAACAAGTCAAAAATATTGCTTACTACCCAAAAGGAAGCCATAAATACTGCATACCATTCCAATACCCATGAATACAATTTGATAATCACCTTGGTCAAAAATTTAATCTCAAAATATCCTGTCTACAATACCAGGCACATCAGTAATATCACACAGTACTCTAGTAGAATGCATGCCAATACCTGATTACATACCAGCCATCAATGACCAACAAGCACCAAGTAAAATGCATAATTTCCACCTAAGAACTATTCCTTACCACATGTGTTAGTACAAGCCATACACTAAGTACTGTATATGAACTCTAGTTTCTAACATAATCGGGAGAAAATATTTAAAAAAAATTAAGGATAGGACTGAACAGTAAGGAAATATTTCAGAGATGAATAGGGTCTATCAAAGAGGTATAATAACAACAGTACTTTTGCAAACATTTGAAGCAATTCTATGCCACTGCTAATACCCACTGTAATCCTAAATGCTATGACTATTTGTAACAAGTCCATTAAGGAGTACATAAAGGGTATATTTCTGATAATGTTTATCTTTAATTTGCATGCAATCTCCACACTAGTCCAGATTTATAAGAAAATTTAACATCATAATGTCATAACTGAAGAGCTACAAGGTGCAGTACTCACTGAAAATTAAGTCCCCAACCACATTAAGTGGATACCTTATAGGTATAACGAGTCAGGTTCTATGAAGGTCTTTTTGAAAACAGGAGTGGCCCTTATGATGCTTAATCCTCCATGCCATTAAAGGCTGTAACTGCATGTTACCTTTTAATTTAATTCACAAAAATATTGCAAAAACAATATATTTGTTCTTGTATAAATATTAATATACAGTATAGGGCAGTAACATTAATGCTCCTGAGATAACTATCATACAATCACAAAGGAAACATTTATATTTTGCACTGACTACCACCTCACTAAAAGATAGCTTTTTCAAACATATAACTGCTTCGAATGAACAAGGCCAAGTAATACCAAGGCAAGCTACACGCCACCAGTTAGGTTCAAAGCTGATAATATAATGAGACTTGTTATGTTCCATGTTAAGTTTTCCAGATGTGTGTTAGATACAAGAGTTGGGACCATAAGAAGATAAAAAGACTGGATATTTCACAACCCATGGGTACCAGCCAAAGCAATGCATACCTCCTGGTTTGCCAGGAATACCTGAGATATCCCACACTCGAACTGTTGAATCCAGGGAAGCTGACACAATGAGGTCTTGATTAGGATGGAAACGAGCACACATAACATAATGGTTGTGCCCAGTCAAGATGGATACACATGAACGACTCTGCCAATTCCAGATACGGATTGTCTGGTCATCTGAGGCAGATAGGATCCAGGGATACTCCTGGAAGATAAAGTAGAACATTTTCTTATTACACACACACTATGTTATCCAAAGTGTAATACCTTTTCAAAGAATACTGAATTGAATTTACTACATTATTATAACTGTGAAATGACTCAAGCACATATCCTTTTAGATCAGTACAGTATATAAAACAAGGGCATCAACCAATGAAAACAAGGAGATAGAAAACATTTACTACTCAGTAGACCCTCACTATTTAATAGTTCAATGCTTTACTTTCATTATTTTGTGGCTCCCTAAATTACTTTTTTTTTACTGCATTGTCAAACTCCATTATTTTGTGGATTAAGTCCAGAAAAATCCAATCTCATGGACCACTGAATCCATCACTTAACAGCAAATGTTTACAGTGTACAGTACAGCATATTTTATATTGTGATTGAATATTTTGTTATACCCTGAAGTACTATGAGCAAAAGAGAAAGTAAAGTAGCATATGCTACTGCATCTGGTGGTATCAAGAAAAGGCATGCGTTGTTGTTAAATCAGATAAAAACTGCGTGAGAGTATTTTGGAATACATCTCAGCCTTGCTGCTCCCACACTAATATTGCCATCAGCTTCATATTATTTGGGGTTACATACCTAGGAATTAATTACATGATATTTTTCCTCAAATAAATGGTATTGTACTTCACTTAAAAAGACACAAATGTGAGAAAAGTCTTTGGGGCAATTTTTTAATTCTATTATTATTATTATTTTATTTATATATATATATTTTTTTATACTGCACAGTTATATACGAGGGGTGATCAAAAACTTTGGTGAATGGTACCTACCAAGGAATGAGTGAATAGTGGTTAGGTCGATGGGTGGAGCTTACATCATCCACCCTCCTAGTTGCCACCAACCACGATTACAGTACACTGTAGCATGACTTTAAATGAGGACGTGTCTGTGGCTTCTGGTGCATTTGTCGAAATGTTGCAGTGTGAGTAATGGTCAAACATGAAATCTTGCTTTAAGCTTGGCAAGACAGTGACAGAAACACACAATGAGCTTCTTATGGTTTATGCAGATATATATATATATATATATATATATATATATATATATATATATATATATATATATATATATATATATATATATATATATATATATATATATATATATATATATATATATATATATATATATATATATATATATATATATATATATATATATATATATATATATATATATATATATATATATATATATATATATATATATATATATATATATATATATATATATATACACAGTGAGTTCTGCTATAACGCGTGTTTTGACAACGCGAATTTGCTCGAACGCGATTTATGAATTGAGGAACAATATTTGTAAAACGCGAACTCGTTTGCTCTAACGCGATTCCACTCGAACGGTTGTTGTGACTTCAGTTCACGTTCGACATCACATGTTCAATTGAGTTATGTGTTTTGTTTGTGAACAATTGCAGAAATAATGTATGTAATATTTATGTATACAGTATACCTATATATTATAAGTAAATTGTAAAATTTTACATAAAAGAGAAAATCAAATTACATAGCGTTTTACACCCGCGCTCTCTTTACATCATACACAGTGTTTACAGTTTACGTTCGACATCACATATTCAATTGATTTATGTGTTTTGTTTGTGAAGAATTGCAGAAATAATTTATGTAATATTTATGTATACAGTAAACCACTCACAAGATCCTACAGTACCACTAATTATTTTATACTGAAACTTACGTTTGGGAAGCTGGATTAAAATGAAGATTACCGGTATATTAAAATAATAAAAATGTATTATAAACCAGTCGAACATACCGTAATAAACACAGCTGCTATTATCATCCACCCCCCCCACCCCCATTTGCCAGTGACAAGAAAGGGAAAGTGACCTTGACTGTGACCGCCTGTGGCTATTTTTAGCCGTCCTTGTGTTCGGAGGTGGTCAGTAATGCATATCTGTATATTTACTGATCAATATATTTATCTCCTATAAATAATTCATTTAAAATTCATTTTTTTGCAAAGAATATTCAGTAAATGACTGCATTAATTCTTGAAACTACCTACAGTGGTAAATTTAGGATATAAATAATGAACAGAAGTCACGTCATGGATTCGGAGTTTGGTCCTTAACGATCACCATAAATGTAGCCTCCCTTTTTCGCGAAACACGTATATAAATTAAAGAAAATACTTGCAGTATATTTAATATATTACAGTATATTATATATAAATAAATAAACAAATAAATTCAAATTCCCTTATCATCCTGTGTCATATACAGAAATACTTGAGTCCCTGAGCGAGTACACAAAAAGAAAACGGACATCCTGGAGTGGATAGAGAACGGACATCTCTACTGGGGGACTCAAACGTTTCTCATGTTTTGTGGGCGCTCTAGCATAATATAAATAATATGTAAATTACAATTTACTTATACAGGTATATATATATATGTAAATTGTAAAAATTTAAATAAAAGAAAAACTAAATACGTAGCGTTTAAAGTGTACTGTACAGTATGTACAGTGCTGTGGCTTGGCGCGGGGTTATGCAGTGTTTACAGTTCACGTTTGACATCACATGTTCAATTGATTTATGTGTTTTGTTTGTGAACAATTGCAGAAATAATTTATGTAATATTTATGTATACAGTATACCTGTACAGTATATGTAAAATGTAAAATTTTAACTAAGAGAGAAAAACAAAATACGTAGCGTTTTAGACCTGCGCTCTCTTTACTCCACACGTTCACTTTGCTAGACGTGAGAAATTTTTAAGCGTCCTCAGTGCTTTCTGATTTACTGTTTCCCCAATTTTGTGACTATGGAAAAGAAGAATATCTCGGGGAAGCATTCTGGTGATCGCATTTCTGGTGGTGATCGTAAAAGAAAGGCTATAACACTTGAAGGCAAGCTTGATGTTGTCAAGCGTTTTGAAAATAAGGAAAGAACATGTGATATTGTGCGTGCAACGGGAATAAAGGAGTCTACTTTGCGCACCATTAGAGCCAATGCAGCAAAGATTAAAGCAAGCTGTGTTGCTGGAAAAACCAAGAGAGCTAGCAAAAGTGTAAGATCACGGCCAAAGGAACTTGAGGAAATGGAATGGCTTCTAAGTGTTTGGATAGAAGATCAAACGAAAAAGCGATCTGGGACCAGCTTCCTCACCATTAAAGAGAAAGCCTTGTCAATATATGAGGACCTAAAGAAAAAAGCTGAAAATCCTGATGATGTGGTTGCCTTTAGTGCAAACATTAGACGTCTTTTTTAAGTCAACCCCCAAGAAGCAGACTGAAGACACTGAACCACAGCCATCCACTTCTGGAATTAGACGTTTTTTTCTTCCCTCCCATGCATCCAAAACTGCACCTGATGATGATGATACTGATGATGACGATGACAATTGTCAAATCCTGTCTGCATGACTCCTCAACCTCAACATTAACCTTCTCCCCCATCAAGTTAAATTCATATTTTTTCAAGGTAAAGTGTAACATTTACTGTATGATTTCATTATTAGATATGAATGTAACATTTATTTAGACTGTGCTATCCTTTGTGTTAGGCTAACTACGAAATTTTTTTTCGATTTGGAGTAATCTGCACCTAACCCTATTTTCTCCATAAGCCCTGTTATTTCTATTTCGCGATTTTCTATAACACGATATTTTACAAGAACACAATTATCGCGTTATAGCAGAACTACCTGTATATTTGTATTCCTCATCGATGAATTCCGGACTGCAAATTCTCAAGGCATATCAGCATATACCTAGATCACGCGCACCTACAGTGATTTACTTGCATATATATATATATATATATATATATATATATATATATATATATATATATATATATATATATATATATATATATATATATATATATATGAGAGAGAGAGAGAGAGAGAGAGAGAGAGAGAGAGAGAACGATTTTCCGAGAAAATTTCAATTCCAGCTATGAGAGAGTTTCGGGCTTGAGGGATTCCGGTTAACGGAGATGTTATTGTATATAGCAAAATGGTCGGTAAAGTTCTAGAACATCAACAGATGAAGAAAAATTTGTATAACTTCACAATACCAGAGGGAGTGAAATGGTTTTACCTGAGAGGCTATTACAGTACTGCACACTTAAACACAGGAAAATGGTAAACGATGGAAACATTGAAGTGTCCTAAGTACTGTACTGAAACTAACTCCAATCTCACAAATTGAACACTATATTAAGCATAAATACTTCACAAACTAAGACATGCTAATTAAGGATAAGGTTATTGACAATGATATGTTCACTCATTACACCCATGACAAAGTGCCTACCCTTGCACTCATACATACAATACCTGTATACAGTACAGTAGTATACAGTACCTATCTTCAGACCCAACTTAGAGAATTATATATACAATATATATATATATATATATATATATATATATATATATATATATATATATATATATATATATATATATATATATATGTATATATAAAAAAAATATATATATATATATATATATATATATATATATATATATATATATATATATATATATATATATATATATATATATATATATATATATATATATATATATATATACAGTATATATATGAGGGGACTAAGAGAGGCTAAAATGCTTTACAGCATAGAGCAACTATGAGGTGGAGTATAACTTATCTAACCTGATGAAATTCTGTTGTACGGATGTAGTCCAAGTGGCCAAGCAATGTGAAGAGACATCTCCGTAACTTGTAGTTCCATACCTGTCAATTATATACAAAAATTATCAAGCAGTACCAAAATTTTAGAGTACAGAGTATTTTATTTGTGGCACATATATGGTACCTTTATAACTACCTATAGGTGGCTCCTCTCCTGCATTTACCACTTAACATTGCCAATGCTTTCTTTCCCTGAGGTGTGAACCCCAAACTCTGAAGTGTGAATTCAAAATATTCGGTAGTGAGTGGGAGGGGTGTGTCGGGGTATGTACAGGGGGTATATATGTGCTAGGGGGGTGTGGGGGATATGTACAGGGGATATATACAAATTCGCAGGGGTTAGGTTCTCAAAATGGCTGCGAATAGCCAAATCCGCAAACAATATTTGTGGATAGGGAGGGGGGTGTGTGTTTGTTACATTTTTACTTGCATACAAAGAAATGTATATTCCCTGAGGACAATTATTTATTTTACCTGTACAGTAGAACGTTGATTTAAACCGATTCAATTTAAGATTATTGATTTAAAGCGACACCTACCATTAAGGACAATGTTTTAATTTAAAGGGAATCTTTCCTATTATGCGCAAGCCAATCTGGCGCATCATATTTAAAGTTTTGCGCCTAATGTTTCTCTGGGCTCGCTACACTGTCTTTAGGGCAAAGCTGTACTGTACATGCACTCAAAATAATATACTAAATGATTACTAAAATTTTTGTCTAATGCAAACTATGGCATGTTTATATTCAAATTAATCACTATCTTAAAAGAATTCCAGCAATGTAAATTACAGTCGACCCTTGTTAATTCGGACCCCTTTAATCCGGATTTCGGATAAATCGGACGAAATCTGAACTGTCCGTATAAAATTTCTGGTTCTGGGATTGTCCCAGTTGCAATTGGGGTTGAAATTTCAAATTCTGTGTCACTTCTAAGGAATAACAAAGTCTCTGGTGCACTCTAAAATTAAGAGAAAACGGACGACTCAGGCGTCCTGAAGTGAGAGAAAATGGACTCCTATGACAGGGCACTCAAATAAAGAGACATGGCTACATGTTTTGTGGACTACCCACTGTACAGTATTGATCGTATAATTTTCATCACTTTGTAATAAACCTAGTCATGCCTATGTGTGTTTCTGATAATTACCATAACATTATATATTTATATATTTAGCGGTTGTACAAACACAAGGCCTCACACATGCCACTCAGACTGACAGATTTGACAAGTTTTACCAACCATAAAGACAGTTGAAGCTTTAAACATCACTCACAATGGATCTTGAATATTCCAACTGTAATCAGACATACCTAAGTTGCCTCAACAATTGCAACCCCAGTAGCAATATCAAATTCTGTCACTACTAAGGAATAACAAAGTCACTGGTGCACTCTAAGATTAAGAGAAAACGGACGACCAAGGCGTCCTGAAGTGAGAGAAAACGGACTCCTATGACGGGGCATTCAAATAAACATACACATAGCTGTATAATGCAATATTATGCAATATTAACCCCTAAATCGGTTAATTCGGACAATCAGCTAAAACGGACACCCTTCCCCCCTATTAGTCCGTTTTAACGAGGGTCGACTGTATATTCTCCCCGATCACTTCTGTGACATTTTATAAGCAAAAAACATAAACTGAAGCTAAAGGACATAAATCAACAATTAAATACTTCACTAGACCTTGGCACCAACTGTCAAACATGTCATCTTCTCAGCCAGGGTTTGGTGCTTTAGACTTAAAGTCTTTAGTCACTCTTTAGGACAGATAAATAAATAAGCACTAGACCTTGGCATCAACTGTCAAACATATCACCTCACCTTTGTCCCTCCCCCCATCTTCCCAGCCAGTAAACAGACCATTTCGCATCCCTTAATTTTAGCTGTGTTGATTTATGAGTGTTTGTTTTAACATAATACTAAAAAAAAATAATGTTTTGTTTATTCTAGGAGATGGGCTGAGGTGCATGTGGGTAGACTCTCAGTCTTTTTAGTATTTTGTGTTTCTCCCAAGTATCAAACTAAATTATTCCATTGAAACAACACTTCGATTTAGTGCGAATTCGGGTTAAAGTGACCTCTCTTGGAACCTATTTCGTGTCATATCGACGTTCTACTGTAGTAGTAGTATATGAGAGAGAGAGAGAGAGAGAGAGAGAAAGAGAGAGAGAGAGAGAAAAAACGCACGCATGTATTGGTATGTGTTTTGTGTGTGTGTGTGTGTCTACACACACACATATTTACAAAACCGATAAAGGAAATTACTGTCTAGAATGAAAGGCTCCCTGTCCCACTCGCAAAAATGCTGGCAACTTTAAAACTACCCACAGACATTCTTGGGTACATCCAAGGTGTCATCCGCAAATAACCGGGAACCGCGAAGTAAAAATCTGCGAACTTGAGGGCTCCCCTGTATATCAGTTGTGATAGATTACAGTGCAGAATAATACTTTGACAATACCAACGGGGTTACTTCAGCTAAGAGTAATCGTCTAGTGCTAGCCAGATGAAAATACTGTACACTATAGTACTATACGAGTAGTTAATAATAGAATGACAAGGGGATGAATTTATGTACTACAGTAGGTAAGGTGTTCTTTTGCAAAAAGGGGGCCTTTATAAGCAAATGGATTAATGTATGAATATGTTTGAATCTTTATCTTGTAGAAAAAGCAAAGTTTTGTGTAACCCCTTTACTATGAGATGGAACTTCCCCAGCTGAAAAAAAGTCTGGTGGTAGCAAAAATAAAATAGATGAGATAACATGATAATGAAGAGATTAATTAGTTATCAAAACAAGTAACTTCAGTATTTTCATCTGGCTAACACTACATGATTACACTCCGCTGCAGAAACCCTGTCGGTATTGTGTTATTCTGCATTGTAATCTCTCCAAACTGATATACACCTCCCCCTCACAGAAAGACACCTACCCCAACACACCCCTCCCCTCACTAGTGAATGCTTCGAATTCACACTTCCAAGTTTGGGGTCTCACACCTCAGGGAGAGAGAGGCCTGGCAACACTAGTGATAAACACAGGAGTGGAGCTTACTATACATTAGAAACCTGATGGACTGAGAGTTTTTGCATTGTGATAGGAAACACTACTGGAACTTATAGGAGATATTTATCATATTGTGGCACAGCTGGATGCACCATGGGTAATGGCAAAGGGCCCATTACATCTTGAGACCTAGTGTCAACAACCCGAATGTTTAACAAGTCAACCTCTCTTACCTTTCTTAATCCTTTGGGAAGTAGAAAACTATATACCAGGGCAAAGTTTATAAGGATTTCAACAATTTAGTGCAGTTCAAAACTACTGGACGAGCAAATGATCATGTTTACATCTGGTGCCGTGTGAGCCTACAGAGGCAGTCATTGCTAAGTGTTTCCCACATGCCATTAATATTTTCAAGAGTGAATTCCACCCTAGAAACTCATTTATCTTACTGTACGTACTTTATTTCTCCATTTTATTTTATCAATACTAATAATGATATTTTCAGTGAATAATTTTCTTTATATTTATACTCTTTCAACAGCACCTTCCATTGTCAGTTGACAGTACCCCAAGTGAAGCCTCTACTTATTCATTAATCAAGTTTACAACACGACAGTACATGTAATGGTGCTTTACCTTCAACACCATTCTATGTCTGTGTCAATCTATTATACCCATAAAAAAATGAGCTCCATGCATAAATCCAATCACTTCTTTCTATACCCAAAGACCTTATTACTCTAGGTACTCTTTATTTTCCTATTCAAATCACCAATTAGCAAATAATTTTATCTCCCTCAACTGAATTACATACACAACATCCAGACTCACTTAAAATTTACTATTCACCTCTTTATTTTGGTGGTCTTGGAACATTGCCCACTAAAAACCTAATTCTGACAACAAGGAATCAACCACCTTCATTCTAATACAGTTACACATCAAATTAATTTAAACATTTACCTGCATCACATTGTGTACCTTTCCTATTTTATTTTCGTACAGACAGCCATCCTTCACTCACTCTATTCTCTCCGTTCATTAATTCCTCAGACAATTTTAATCTTTTCAGTATGACCAAATTTGTTCATCACCAAATCTTTAATGTGCAAAATCAAATACTGTACCCTGTAATGCTCAACCTTAAAAATGTGTTCATAGGTTACACTACAGTAGAGGCAAGACTGTGTCATTTTTAACATTGATGCTATGGGATGAAGACTTCTCTACTGTTGATTCTTCTTTGGTCACCGTGACACAGCATCCCCCTGGGTGGCTTGGCACTTATTCCAAACAACTGTACTCTATCAGTAATGATTGTTTCCTTACATATACACTTTTGTATCATCTATTTTTATTTTTCCATTCTATCTTTCTCTTCTTATTCCAACATTATATTTTCTGCATATGTAATTACCAAGGCCAGACTTTGGTACTGTAATTACATATGCAGTTGGAGATAATGTCTGCCCAGGTGACAACAGAGACAATACAGCATCTATTATCAAGCATGTAACAAAGAAATATCTAGAGAAGGGGAGAAAACTGTACAGATATTTCGTATTTGTAGCATTATAAAGGGATTCTGAAAGGGTACCTACATGAGGTAGTACTGTACAGTTATTTTCTGACATAAAATACAGTACATTATTGTGATTTATCTCTGTAAATGGTCTAAAACAAGATGTCAAAGTAAACCAAGACAAATATAGTATAACCTTAATCTTGTAGTCATCTCCTCCAGACACAAATAATGGCTGCTGCTGGTGGAAACAAACTGCTCGCACAGGTCCTTCATGCTCATCAAACTTGTCCACCATTGTACACATACGATAGTCCCATAGCTGGATGATCCCACTGTGCAAGCTGTAAATAAACATGAAAATCAGTGAGCAAACTAAGAAAATTAAAAACAATATATCAATAAAAGGCTATTTAGGAATGCAAACTACAGTAGAAGTTTAGAGGAATTTTTAAAGAGAAATGCACACAAATCAATACAGTACAGGTATCACTGAACTGAATGGTAGAGCATTTTCATTTGTACGTGGTTAGACAATCTATAGGCCCGTATTTTATTCTCTGGCAGACATATTCTGCAAAAGGTACGTACAAAGGGTCCTACTGTTGCAAAATATTTCTCGTGGGCCAAATTAAAATTTCCCAAGCTTTGTATTTGCTGAGCATCTTTCTGGAAGAGCTTCTGACAACTAACCTGAGGCAAAGTTGGCCTCTTGCCCATTAGTATTAGATGGACCATGACTGACTTAAGACATACCATATCTGCTTGTATGTGGCACCCCAGGCAGGTGGAAATTTATACCATTATACTGTACTGTATTTGATTCTGGAGATAAGGATGCATAGTGATATACAGTAGAAGTGAAGATGGTAACTTTCAAGATTTGACAAGTGAATCTGAGGGGAAATTTAGGAAAGAGGATGAAGAATATGCTGGCTGTGATGAAGCAGTTTCCACCAGCCATGTGTACACTTATGAGGCTCCAACATGAGATTGAATTTATTACAGTACTATAATTGTTTATTTCATGAACTTTGATGGTGTAAATCAAGAGTTTATGGTTGGATTCAAATGTTTTTATGTTTTAATATTTTATATTCCCCCTACAGAGGGCAATGACCATAAGTTGCCATCACCATCCTCAAAGGGTTAAGTTACTTTCAATGGCTGATGGTAAAACTTCAACAATGAAGAATGAAAAATAAACATTCAAGTACTGTACTGAAGAGGAATTCACAGTATTTTCTGCCACCTTGAAATACTTGAAAACAATAACCTATAACCCTTTGAATTAAATGAAGATGAATGAAGTTATTGGCACAGTATATGAAAGGATGAAAGTTACTCTGTCAAAGTATATTACTGCACTACTGTACGTACATTAATACCCCATTGAAAGCTGATTCACTATTAACCACTTGGCTTTTTTTTCTTTTAATTCAATAAAACAGGTAAAAAATTGTGAATTCTAATGAACTGGGTACACCCACCATTTTCGTTTATGTTGGCTGAGCAAGCAAAGTGTCTGGGTGGAAGACCAGACTCAGTGCCACATGCTTTAAGCTAGTTTATCATCATGGGAAAAGCAAGAAGCATCTTTAACCACCTTAAGGAAGAAGAAGGTGAGGGATTGGTGACGGAGACATTTACGGACTCGTGTGTACCGACCTCTGCTGTCATTGCTCAAGTGGGTTGGCACTCACTCGAACAAGTGTCTTCACCACTTAGTTAATGATTTTGCTGTGTATTATGTGCTTGATTTATTCTTTAATTAATTACCTCTGTGTATTAGCAGGCAAATTAAGCATCATATATCAATCACAACTTTTAAATAACACTGTTAAGAATGCATTTCCAAATCAAGTTGAAAGCTGAACCACTGAAAGCTCTCTTCTCCAAGAATGCATCCTGAGCTTACAATGAGGTATATGTAACTACTGTACTGTACCTCAAAACTGTAAATACCTGTACAGTACACCATTAAAATTTATGTAGTATCTGTCCTCCCTTCTGGGGTAGGGTGGGAGTACAGTACAGTACTGTATTAAGCTCCATCCCATTAAAAAGAAAACTTACAAACTTAAGCTTAAGGTGTATGCTTCAGAAGACTAGACTAGACTAGACTAGACGTACGTGTGTGTGTGTGTCATTATAGAAAGTCTGTATATCTATCACACAGTATTTCATTAGTCAGTACTGTACAGAACTCTATAAATTACAAGTTTCAGTTGAAAAATGTGAACATAGAAATACAAAAATGTCAGAGTTTGATGTACCAAGACTACATACAGCTTCAAGGACATCCACCTAAGTGAACAATAATAAACCTATTGGTATTCTGGACAAATAAAAACTTGAACAAAATTGCAAGTTACTTTTTTTTCTTTGGACAGTCTGTAATGGGTCACACTTTCTGGGTAGTAAGCGATGACCATTCTACTTTGATTGATAGGTAAAGTGATTTTACGTGCTACATCAGATGTTCCAGCTGGACAACTTCTTCATACAGTATTGTACAGTACAGCCATAACTTGTGGACATCAAATCATTATGTTCAATATAAAGTGCTGTACATAAATCAAGAATTGAGCCATAAGCTCACTAGTCCAACTACCCATAATAAAGAACAGCCCTCATTAATTCTATCACATTATATTTCTTCCAATCTAAGTTTTCACTTGGAGTTGGTTAATGGCAACAAACCTCAAGCAAGGTAATAGGAAACACTGCACTGTATGTGCAACGGAAATGAAAAAAAAAAAGGCACTGAAAAAATCCTCCTATCCTCACCTTGTATACAAAGAATATAGCAAAGACTCTTTCATATCCACCTTATCCAATTCACACAATATACAGAGCATATCAGTGACTCGAGGAAAGATCAGACAAAGGTCAAGGGAATCAGTGAACAGCAGGCAATACACAAAGGAGAAATAAGTGATTGTAAGAGAAACCATGAAATAAACAATGAATGTACAATATACAGTATGTGAGAACAGAACAACAACCCCACAGCCAGGCAGAGGTACTGTTTGCATTATCATACCTACTGTATACCGGTAACTGATCACCCTTAAACAGTATTCTGGGATAACGTAAATGGTTTAGTTCAGAGCCATCATTGTATTGTAACTTTGACAAAAAATAAATAAAAAAAAACAGTACAGTACACAAATATAGATAATGTATTTTCCTTGAAAAGAGAGAGGTGTAAACCTCTAATTTTGATCCAATTGTTAAATATATTTAGGAAGATTAAATCCAGATGAAAACGAATCTAATACTGTACTGTGTAACACTAATTGAAACATGTAAGATTAAACTGATCGTTAATTCCACATTAAAAAGTATCTATGATCAACATATGAGCATATTTTATTACCCTGAGCCCCTGAAAACTACAGTACAGTACATTACAATGATGCAAGTACACTAACATAATTTCCATTACAAACAAATAAACTTGGCTTGGAAATACTTCGGAGATAGTACAGTATACCAATTTTAAATCCAAACCAATGAGTGTAGGCTTATACAGGTAGTACTATGATGCCATATGTCAATGTTGAAACATTTGGGTAGGTGATATTGTGAAAAGGAAATGTGGGTGGAGTCTTGGGTGTGGCCCCTTAAAAGGTAATGCTTGGCCGAGAGCAAGGCAATTTTTAGATTGGGCTCAGGGAGTTGGAGTACCAGGTAATTGGGCTGGGGCTCTTCATGGGAAGCCAGGTTGGAGTTAACCAATGCATTGGGTGGCCGTGTGCCATATATTACAGCTTACCAACAGTGCTTAGAAATGGCTCTGTTATATCACTTGATATATATATATATATATATATATATATATATATATATATATATATATATATATATATATATATATATATATATATATATATATATATATATATATAGAGAGAGAGAGAGAGAGAGAGAGAGAGAGAGAGAGAGAGAGAGAGAGAGAGAGAGAGAGAGAGAGAGAGAGAGAGAGAGAGAGAGAGAGAGAGAGAGAGAGAGAGAGAGAGAGAGAGAGAGAGAGAGAGAGAGAGAGAGAGAGAGAGAGAGAGAGAGAGAGAGAGAGAGAGAGAGAGAGAGAGAGAGAGAGAGAGAGAGAGAGAGAGAGAGAGAGAGAGAGAGAGAGAGAGAGAGAGAGAGAGAGAGAGAGAGAGAGAGAGAGAGAGAGAGAGAGAGAGAGAGAGAGAGAGAGAGAGAGAGAGAGAGAGAGAGAGAGAGAGAGAGAGAGAGAGAGAGAGAGAGAGAGAGAGAGAGAGAGAGAGAGAGAGAGAGAGAGAGAGAGAGAGAGAGAGAGAGAGAGAGAGAGAGAGAGAGAGAGAGAGAGAGAGAGAGAGAGAGAGAGAGAGAGAGAGAGAGAGAGAGAGAGAGAGAGAGAGAGAGAGAGAGAGAGAGAGAGAGAGAGAGAGAGAGAGAGAGAGAGAGAGAGAGAGAGAGAGAGAGAGAGAGAGAGAGAGAGAGAGAGAGAGAGAGAGAGAGAGAGAGAGAGAGAGAGAGAGAGAGAGAGAGAGAGAGAGAGAGAGAGAGAGAGAGAGAGAGAGAGAGAGAGAGAGAGAGACCTAAATTCTCTTGGTACCAAAATGCTACTCTGTAATTAATAAAACTCCCCACTACACCTGACCACCTCCTCCCTACACTACACTCGACCACCCCCCCACTACAGTACACTCAACCACCTCCCTCCCACTTTACTCGACCACCTCCTGTTTGAATATTAGGGTCACCGTACACATGCCATTCACTTTAGGCTATTATGACCACCCGTGAGTCCCTTGACATCCATGTGTGTCTGTGAGTCACTTGGCATCCACATTGGCACCTATGAGTCACTTGGCATTCACATGGGTACCTATGAGTCACTTGGCATCCATATGAGCACCAGTGAGTCACTTGACAGCCATATGAGCACCAATGAGTCACTGGACAGCCACAATAGCACCTGTGACTCACTTGGTAACCATATGAGCACCTGTGAGTCACTTGTCAATCATAACAGCACCTGTGAGTCACTTGGCAACCATGAGTATCTGTGAGTCACTTGGCAACCATGAGTATCTGTGAGTCACTTGGCAACCATGAGTATCTGTGAGTCACTTGGCAACCATATGTGCACCTGTGAGTCACTTGGCAATCATGTGTGCACCTGTGAGTCACTTGACAATCTTATGTGCACTTGTGAGTCACTAGGCAATCTTAACAGCACCTGTGAATCACTTGGCAATCATATGTGCACCTGTGAGTCACTTGGCAACCATATGAGCACCTGTGAGTCACTTGGCAACCATGAGCACCTGTGAGTCACTTGGCAACCATATGAGCACCTGTGAGTCAC